AAAAATCTAGGAAGATTTATATGAACTCTTGGAAAGTGAAGTGAGTAGAGCCAGGAGAACATTGCAAACAATAAGAGCAATATATTAAGGATAATCAACTGTGAAAGACTTAGCTACTCTGATCAAGACAGTGATCCAAGATAATTCCAAAGCACCCATGATGAAAATGCTATTCACCTCCAGAGAAAGAACTTATGAACTCTGAATGCAGATTGAAGCATACTTTTTTTACTTACTTTATTTCTCATTTTATTTTTTGTCTGTTTTCTTTTGCAATGTGGCTACTGTTGAAATATATTTTGCATGACCTCACATGTATAATTGCTATAAAATTATTTGCCTTTTGAAGGAGGGGGGAGTGGAAAGGGGAGAGGGAGAGAGAGAAAGACAGAGAGAGAGAGAGAGAGAGAGAGAGAGAGAGAGAGAGAGAGAGAGAGAGAGAGAAAGAGAGAGAGAGAGAGGAACTCACATTTTTTTTAAATTTGGCAAATATTTAATGAAATAAATATTCAAGAACAAACTTAGGATGTGGATTGGGAGAATCAAGTCAGCATGGAGTATGAGAGACACAGGGCAGGGATAATTTCATTTGTCTTTGTAACCTCAGCTCCTCATTTAGTGACTGGCACATAGTAGGCACTAGACAGACAGAGAGACAGATAGATAGATAGATAAATAAATAAATAGATAGATAGATAGATAGATAGATAGATAGATAGATAGATACATAGATACATAGACAGACAGACAGACAGACAGACAGATAGATAGATAAATAGATAGATAGATAGATAGATAGATAGATAGATAGATAGATAGATAGATAGATAGACAGACAGATAGATAGACAGGTAGATAGATACTTAAGTGCTTATTAAGTGCTGAATATGTGTCAGGCATGTTGCTAAGCTCTGGGAGCACAAAGACAAACAAGCAAAAAAGCCCCTTACAAATAAATGGTGCATTAATTTAGGGACTTAGTGACAAACCAGCTAATACTCCCAAACTGGCCAAGATGGAAATAGGCCTTGAAATGATGATATTTGACTACACCAATGAAGAGAAGGAAAGAAAGAAGAGGAAAGGGAAGGAAAAACACTTGACAATCTTGGCCTACTGTATTTTGGCCTGTTTTACAGCAGTCTGGAATAGCTGAGAGCAAGCTAGTCTCAGAGCCAGAAAGACCTGAGGTCAAGTTTCATTTCTAACCCCGACTCGTTGGTGACCCTGGGTAAATCACTTAACCTTTCAATGTTCTAGGTAACTGTCTTAGACCATAAGTTACAGAGAAGGTGCTGACCTGCAATGGTAGAGGAAGTTTCCTCACTCAGTATTTCTTTATGTCAGTGAAATCACAGGTCTAGACCCTATTCCTGTGTTATAACTAAAGTTGAATAGGGCTAAGGTTTCTAAGTACAGAATAATTAGAGCATTAATTATGGGTTATATTTGCTTCTGTCAACTCTAGTCATTTTTTTATGTTGAACTATGAACTTTTTCTTTCATTAGAGCCGTTAGTATTTGTCAGGAAATGATAATATCTTGGAATAATAACAAGTACTTTTAATTTCCTAAGTTTTGTGTTCCTTGGCAAAGACTCAGCTTCAGTTAGTATTTATTAACACCTGAAATCAAGGTACAGGGCCTTAACAAAAGTTCACAAATGAATATCCTTCAGAATAGAACAGGGCTCTAGTTAATCAATGTGCTAATTGCTCCCCTTCATTAATATATTAGGTCCTTCTCTGATATATCCATTCAGTTCAACTCAATAACCATTGATTACACCCCATAGTATAGGCTAGATTATAAAAACAAAAAGTAAAACAGTCACTGACTTCAAGAAGGTTACATTCTATATTGATTAATTTCATTGGATAATTCTGCTCACCACTTCATTTCAGCTCATGTAGACAAAACTTTAGACCCTATTATATGACAAATAGCACATGGGGAGAAAAAAAAGATATTAATTCTTCTGTTAAGCAACAAGAAACAGTTATTGTCCCCTCTATGCAGCAAAGAAGGGGGTCAGCAAGAAAGAAAATTTTTTCCTCAAATAGCAAAGGCAAGGAAAAATAAGGCTGCCTTTTAAGGGAATACTGTGCAATATTGCACAACAAAGTTTGCTTTTCAGTGATGTGGGTTACCTGGTTGCAACTGGATGAAATGGTGAGGGGAATAGTGAGATCATCTTTATTATTGCCTGGTAAGACAAAATATTTACATTGAGCATTTTTCTATGCTGGGACCCAGGCTTCTTGGAGGAAGCTAAATAGTGGACTTCCTTTTCTTTCCTTCTTTCCACCTATTAGTTTTGTGGCTGGATGATCTGGATGGATGTGGCCTATTGGATGTGCTATTTAGAGCCCTTTTCTGCTTTCTAAACCAAACCAAGTTCACCATGTGGTGTGTCATGTGAAGACAACACTACTGTATGGAAAACAAAGAAACAAACAGCCATCCTAGAGAGGGGATGAACAAACAGATCAAAAACAGGCCTGCAATAGCTCTCTCCTCCCTCCAAGGACAGTCTGTTATTTCTGCAGTCATACACAGCTGTAAGACAAAAAAATTGTATTCCAGGAGTGGGAAACTAGAGTTTCTCTAGTGTTGAGTAGCTCAAGGAGCTATGGCAGAACTTACAGGGCGAGGTGGGGGATCCCAGGCTCCTTCTCCAAGTCAATGAGTAACCCAGGGGTAATAAGTGAATCATTTATGGGCTGAGACAGGGTTGGTGATATCTCTCCTTTCCCTACTGGGGTCCACCAATAAAATTTAAGGGTTCCAGGAGAATGGAGGATGGAAAGAAAAATCCTCTAACTGAAATTAACTGTTCAACTATTTAAGATCATTATTCTGAGAAGGGGTCCATAGGCTTCATGAGATTACAAAAAAAATGTCCTAAGCAATGCCATTCAATTCAATTCAACCAGCATTTATTAAACACCTACAATGCTCTAGGCTTTGTACTTGGTGCTAGAGGTACAAAGGTTAAAAACAAATCAGTCCCTTCTGTTAAAATGTGTATATTCTACAAAGTAAATGCAGCTGGGGAAATCAGGAAAGGCCTCATAGGGTACTACAGTTGAGCCTTTGAGGAAGCTGGGAGTTCCCAGAGAGAGAGGTGAGGAGCAAATGCATTTCAGGACTGGACAGAGGCCCAGTAATGGAATGCTTCCTTTAAGGAAGTTTCAAGTAAATTAGCATGTCCCAAACCAAGAGTATGTGAGGGAGGTGTAATCAGTCAGATTGTGAAGGGTTTTAAATGCCAGCCAAAAGAGTTTGTATTTTCACTAGAAGTGAAGGAACTACTACGTTAGGGCTGAGCCTGGGCCTCTTAGAGTCCGGTTATATAGTAACACCAAGTAACAGAATGTGGAAGGGCCAGGAGAGAATAATATTACTCCATGACTTTTTTTTTTTATGTCAACTCGGTCCATCCTTAAACCCATCAGAAATTAGCTACTTATCTGGAACATCAGAGTAAATCTAGAGCTACCTCAGCAATTTGGAGGAAAAATGGAAGTCTCAGAAATTCCATCTGCTCCAGAGGCAGAGACATACTACCAATGCCTGTGTCGGCTGTAGCAGGATGTAAATGAAGCTCCAGAGATTTTCCCACTAGCAGAAAACACCATGCTGTGTCTGTTATGCATATGTTTACTGTCATAAATGTGAGTTAAATTACTCATAGTGTTTCCAGCAAAATATGGCTGTCATCTGTCTCAGTATTTTGTATTCTTCGCAATAGGATGCAAGCTTCTTGAGGGCAGGGACTAGTCCAATTTTGTCTTGGTATTCTCAGTACCTAGCACAGTGCCTGACACATAGTGGGCACTTAATTTGTTGGATATGTTGAATTGAATCCTTGAACTCACTCTTACCTCATCTTCAATAGGGATTATCTAAAAGACCCCATGGAAAAACTGTCCAACCACCCCGCCCCCAACCTTGGAGACACACACACACACACACACACACACACACACACACACATCAAGTGTATGTTGCCTCAATTTTGAGATTCTGTGCACTGCATAGTTAAAGTATCCCCAAATGGTTAACTAAGTATGTTTGCGACAGTGGAGTTAAAATTACTTAGGACAAGAAGTGGTTTTAGAAAGTGTTCATTTTGCGTTGGTAATGATTGTGTGTTTACTTCTAATGGCACAATGCTGACTTGGAATGACTGACCTTGACCCAAAGAAACCAGATTGGGCTAGGTGAGTGCTGGATTTCATGCCATGCACATGATTTTAAATCTGGGATTTTTATAATTGGATATCCTTCCAGAGAAGCAATCAAAAGCTATACCTCTTTTAGAGTGCCTTTTAATGACTATTAGAGATATTACAGAGGCTGTTGGTGAGAAAAAGTTAAGTCCTTCAAGGATGGTTCAAGCCCACAATAAAAGAGGATCAGACACACCAAAGAACAAAGGAAAGTGTGGTTGAAAACAAAAAACATCACCAAGAACTGACAAACTATTATTGAAAAGTAGCCTAATTAATGCTTAAAAAATAAGCAAAGAACTTCAGAGGGATCTGACAGGTGGAAGGGTTGTTGTTTACTTCCCTGTAGTGTGACAGAGGATTCTTGAAGGTGGAAGAGCAGTGAGACCAGTAAAAATTATAATTGCTAGTAATTACTACAATTATTGGCATTATTTTGGTATCAGCCTTAGCCTCTCTGGTCCTCACCTTCCTGATCTGTAAAATGAGGGGATGGGAATAGTTCAAGGATTCCCTTCTAATTCTAATCTATGGTCCTATGACTTAAATTTTGATTCTCCACTCTATTTGCGGCAAGTACCTAAAGGAAAGAGAAGGCAGTATTAGGGTTAGTGCTGACCACTAGCTTTCCCCTTCCAAGGCTTTTTGGGCATAGCTACCTTGAGACAGAACTTGTATCAGGACACCAAGTAAAAGTGCTCTTAAAATTGGGTTGTTGCTGCTGCTGTAGTAATATCTGCTAGCTAGATGCACAGAAAAGAGCTGTTTCATGTGTAGGAGCTCATTTTAATTAACAATAGACAAAGCATTGTAGAAACCCAATAAAAAATGCAACATATGTTGTGGGCCCTCAGCTGGCTTCAGATGGAGGTAGGAAAAAATAGAAGCTGTCCACAGGAAGTGATGTTTCCTTGGCCTTCTTAGACTTGATGGCTTTCCCCAGCATTCATATTTGCCACCAATTAGGGCTTCTCTGGGCCAAGGAGTCCCCTCCCCAACCCCTCAACCTCCCAAAAAAAAATATCCTTCTGGGAAGCCTTTGGTTTGTCTGAGGAACAGACAAAGCTGCTGTCTTCACAAAGGGCTCTTAGGGAAAAGAGCCAAAATCATTGTAAGTGAGAGCGGTGCATTTATATCTCTCTGAAGTCCAGGCCATCTCTTCCGCTTCATCTCTGGTTCCCCAGAATCAGGCTACCTGGGAGAAGTTTTTATTGCATACTTTTAAATGTTCCAGTTCTTCCTCTGGGCAGCTTCACCTTTTTGTCTTTGGTCACTTGACAGCTTTTTGGTCTCTCTAGGTCTCTTTTGAAATAAGGATTTGGGCCATGTGAGCTAGGGTATAAAGGTCTTATATAACTGTTCTTAAACTAAATGCAAGGGGTGGGAGGTGGGGGGCGGAGAGGGAGAGACAGTGGCCTAGCTAGAGGATTTTAAAGTCGAGTCTCCATGCCAAAATGTCAGAAAGCTGACCTTCTCTGATCTAAAACAAAACTGTCTCCTGGTCTTCCATCTCCTCTCCCTGTCTTGCCACAGTTCCAGAACAATTTGGTCCATGCCTAGGTCTTCAGAGAGAGCCCCTTGCTGTGAGGCTAACTTGTTCTCCAGTGCCATGTGTGCCTTCCCAGTTCCTCTAAGGATCAACCTGAAACAGGAAATAAATCTTCATCAAAGTGCCCCTTAGAAGTTTAAAGGATTTAGCTGAAGGGTAAGTCAATGTAGTGTTGCTCAGAAACCATAAAGGGTCCCAGGTAATCCCTGTGTATGTCTTCCCTTGGATTTATTTAATTCAACACATACTTATTAAGTAATTGCTAGGATCATGGATTTTTAGAGCTGGAAGGTACCTTAGAGGTAATTGCACCCAATCCTTTCATTTTACAGATGATGAAACTGAGGCTCAAAGAATCAATAAGTGAAATTCAAACCCAAATTCTTTGACTTTCTATTCATCATTTATTCCTTTATGCCATATTACTTTGTGCTAGACCCTGGAGGTAAAAGATAGAAAACAAAAACACATACCTTGAAAGAAATTACAGTCTAGACTACAGACCCTGGGAGTAGGGTAGATCTTATGAGACCTCTTTAGCCTTTGGGTTGCCAAGGCTTCCAGAGTTCACTTGGGTTCTTATGAAGGCTAAAGGGGCACCATGAGGATTGGGATAGATTTAATGATAGGACTGGAAAGATTCTTTTCTCTGAACTTCTCTTTTCCCTTTCTCCCCTGGAGGTAAAAGATAGAAGTCCACATAAAGTAGAAGTTAATAAAACTCATCACCATCTAAGTGACTATTATTAATACTAGCTTGCATTCATATAGTGTTTTTAAGTTTGCAAAGAGCTCTGCATGTCACCTCATTTAATCCTCACAAGAACCCTAGGAGGTAGGTACTATTATTATCCTCATTTTACAGGTGAGGAAACTAAGGCTGAGAAAGATGAAGGGCATTGCCTAAAGTCACAAAGCTAGTCCAGTACTCTATCTACTGTATCACCTAAGCTGCTCTATTAAATATTCATTGAACACTGATTGTCCATAGGAGGTAGAGCTGTGTTGTGGCTGTCTGTTCTCTAATGTGCTGCCCATTCTGATCCCTTGTCTTGCCTCCTCTAGGAGTTAGTGGAATGGACACAGGATCTCTTGGGCTTGTCTTCCCTTCTCCAGAGGTGAGTAGAGTGGACACAAGATCCTTTGGGCTTGTCTTCTCTCCTCCAGAGGTGAGTAGAGTGGACACAGGATCCCTTGGGCTTGTCTTCTCTCCCCCAGAGGTGAGTAAAGTGGACACAAGATCCCTTGGGCTTGTCTTCTCTCTTCCATGGGTGAGTAGAGTAGACACAGAATCCCTTGGGTTTGTCTTCCCTCCTCTAGGGGTCAGTGGAATGGACACAGTATAGAGCAGCAATAATTTGAGGATGGAGCCCTGCTGCCTGTCCAAGATCAGATCTATAGAATAACCAAGGCCAGAAGGAAGAGAGCCAGTCATTACACTAGATTGGATTGCTTCTATTTATAAAGGATGTTTGGGGTCTTTTTGTTTGTTTGTTTTTCTTAGTAAAGAGAAGCAAGATGGAATAGAAAACATGGAACAGTAGAAGCACTGAGATGATAGAAATAGGACAAAGGCTTCCTAGCAACCATTCTCTCTTTGATGCAATGACTCCAAAGTTACAAGTCTTGTGGAATCACTGATGCTAGGATGGGATAAGAGGGTCTCTCTTTTTCATTCTCTCCTGCTCTTATCCCTTCTGAACAGAAAGGGGATCAGTGAAGGGGAAGCTCCTGCCATTGAATACTCCTCATTCTTCCCCTGACAGAGTTTTCCTTTCAAAGTCTGGTGACAAGCCCATTTTTACCAGGGGGAGTGTTTCTTCTGTGTGAAAGGTTTCAGGGATTGTTTGCTGTGGAAAGCATTTGCAGACAATAATTGGGAAATGTGTTAAACCTGCCATCAATTTGCCTTATTGATGTGGAAGCCTCACTGGGTCCCCATACAGAACAGATTTTTGCCCCCATGTGAGCCTTTTCAAAAGGCTGCTCAGTTGAAAAAGATGAGCCAGACAGAATCAGGCACACAGAGAGAAAGCAACAAGGAGAATTTAAAAAAAAAAAAAGACAGATGAAAACTGGGCCAGGATTCCTGAGAAGAGAAGCCAGATAAAAACAAATGCTTCAGGAGATGCCTAGAAGACCAGCTAGCGCTGGCTGGCTGATGATTTAAACAGAGGCTCTCCCACCAAAGGAGGAAAAAATGGGGTGACTAATGGGGGACAAGATGAGAGTAGGTGGTCGACTGTGATGAGGGGATGGGTGTATAAGAAGCATTTCACTTCGGTGGCATGGCTCCTGGGCTGCTGAGCTCCAGTTTTTAATATCTGTTCCTGCTCTCTCCATTTTATTAATCTCCCATTGATTTTTACCATAGAGAAGTCAAAGTAGTAGCTGAGACAACAGACAATCATCAATCTTGTGTGTAGGGTGAGGGATAATGATTCTGTAAATTATAAGAACCCAGCTTGAGTGGTTTACTGTATTATCAAAGACTTATTATAGATGTATCCTCTGAATATCTAGTTTGGCATGTGAATAGGTGTTAGCACATACTGACACTCCTGGGGAGCACAATGAAGTGAGTAGGCTGGTCTCCCCTTTCTCAACAAGCTCTCTCTGTATGGGGCTCACCCAAGTCCCTTCTTCTGTAGCACCAGAGCACCTCAACCTCCCCAAAGCATCAGGATGCATTGTTAAATCAATCAATTAAATCAACAAACATTTAGTAAGTACTTGCTACATTTCAGGGGCCGTGATGAGCTTTGCAGAAACAGGAATGCAAGAAACAAAACAGAAACCAAAAACCAAAATTAGTGCCTGCCTTCAAGGAGCTCACATTTTACTAGATAGCAATGGTTGTACATTTATAAGCACAAATAAGATTCATACAAGGGACATGGAAGGTAAGTTAGAGGGGGAAAACATTGTCTAGAGAGATCAGAAAGATCTGCAGAAGGTGCCTGAATCCTGAAGGAATCCAAGGATTATGTGGAGTAGAGGTGATAATAGCCAGTACATTCCATGGAATGTTGTGATTGAGGAAGAGTAGTGCATAGGCTGACGTAGGTAGTACTTGAAGAGCAGTAATATATAGCAGAGGACTGGAAAGACAGGAAAGATAGGAACAGCTTAAAGAGAGCTTTAAGTGCCAAGCAGAGGGGTTTATGTTTGATCCTAGATGTTAGAAGTCACTGGAGTTTACTGAGTAGGGGGAATGGTGTAATCAGATGTGTGCTTCAGGAAAATCACTTTGGCAACTAAGCAGAAAGATACCTGAGACAGGGACACAAAAGAGAAGGCTATTAAAGTAGCCCAGGCTGGAGATGATGAGGGACTGATCTAAAGTGGTAGAGAGAAAGGGATTCAGATGACACATAGATCTTGTGGAGGTAGAAATGAAAAGATTTGGCAACTGATTTTGATGTATGAGGTGAATGAGAGTGAGGAGCTAAGAATGGTGCCATGATTGTGAACCTACATAGCTGGAAAGATAGTGGTACTCTTGACAGTAATAGGAAAGATTAAAAGGTGAGTGGATTTGGGGGGAAGGATAATTAATTCATCTCTAGAAATGGTACGGTAGAAGAACCACAGTTACTCCCACAATGACAAGATTTTATATGAAAAAATGGATTCATGACCAGGATTTGTTCTCCAAGATGAACCCATTTTTAAACATTCTGGAGCAAACAAAGTGTTTTTCATTGTACCACAGAACATAGGGTAGATTTGCACAGACTAAAACAAAGAGGTTCAAGATGCTTTAGGCGATCTGATCCATGATAGAATAGATCCATAACTTATGAAGAACAATGAGAGATTAGAGGATTTAAAATCAGAAGGGACCTTACAGATAATCTAGTCTAATTTCCCTCTATTTTGGATGAGAAAATGAAGGCCCAGGGAGGTTGAATGCCTTGCCAGGGGTCACCAAGGCAGTAAGCAGCAGAGCTGGCATTCAAACCCAGCTGGGCTCGCTCTAACTCCAAATCCTGAGCTCCAGTTACTGTGGAGGTTTGACTGCAGCCATGGTCTTTGAGGTTGGCATTTTGGAAGCTAACAATGCTTTCTTGCAGAAATATCTTTTAGGAATACTGTAATAGAATACTGGGCTGAATGGATCACTGATTCAACCTGGGAAAGCAATTCTTATCATGTCTAACTAAGCAAACCCGAAGATGGCTGAGTGCTGACTCAAAAGGCAGAGAGACCTAAGACTCCTTCTCAGTTACTAGAGATTAATCATCCCTTAAAGCTAAACGGTCAGTGGGTTTCATAGCAGCCTAGTGGTTCTCAACCTTTCCATTCTTCAGCATTTCCATATTTCGCATCCCATTTCCACCAAATGCACTCCATGAGTATAACACATTCCCACCAAGAAACAAACACAAAAAAGACCAAACCAATATGTCAAAGCAACCTCTCCACTCAAAACACTAAGCAAAAAAGTGAGCGGAGCTGATCTCTGGGATTTGAAAAAGCCAGAACAATAGAAACATTTTTCCTTTGTTTCACTTATGAAAAAAGAAGGCAAGATTAAAGAGTGCATGGGAAAGCTGGATGATTAGAGTGATAATGAGATAGGGGCAGTGATGTCTTGAGAGTGAAATCAGTGATTAGAAAATAAGGAAAGAAGTGGTGAGAGTGTGGGGAAAGGATTATACCCTAAAGTCTTTCATTGACATGACCAAACTGGATTTTACACATATTCAGCTCTAAACTATTCCATCACTATGGAATTTTCCCAGAATGTTCAATTTGAAAAAGATAACACCAGGCTGTCCAACTCTCAGATACAGTCAGATCCTGTTTTGACTAATAGCATATGTTAATGTCCAATTCCATATATTTTAATAATTCAAAGGTCCTTAGGGACACTTCCAGGGAAGTAGATACCAACTCCTCCATGCCTTACAAAATGTCTTAAATGGGCTCCTCTGTCTCTTCCCTCTACCCTAGTCATAGGCCCATAACCAATCTCCCCAGGTTAGTGAGCCTTTCTAAACCTTGCTCCTTGAGAATAGAGGTTGTTTGGGGCTTCTTATTTGTATCTCCAGTACTTAGCACAGTGCTTGGCATGTGCATAGTATGCT